TGGAAATGAAAAAGCTGATCAACAAGCAAGGAACGCTGCAAACCAACCACAAAGAACATAATATATTTCCTCTCCGCCCAGACGATATAATCGTTTATGTTAAAAACACTATCAAACGAAAATGGGCGGCAAGATAGAATGTCTGTAGAGATAGTATGAAAGAAATGAAGCCAGTTGGCCAGCCAACTGTTCTCAAAGGAACTTGAGAGAAGAGAACTTGTGATTCTCTCTAGATTGCGAATAGGTCACATCAGGCTAATCCATAATAGGCTTTTAATAGGCAACAACCTTCCAACTTGTCCTCGATGTATGCGAAGTGGAGAACGTATCATTCTGACAGTAAAACATATTTTGGTCGACTGTCCCACTTTGCAACCCTTTAGGCAAAGGCTCAACCTTTCGAGTGATTTACAGGAGTTACTGGGTCTCCAGTGTTTCTTTCGAACAGCACTTTTCAGCTTTCTCAAATTTATTGGAATTTATAATGAGATTTAGGCCTTTTCCCAAATTGTTATACCATTGAATGTTTGCCTGCTAATGTTTGAATGAAAGTTGTGCGTGCAAGATTTCTTTCTTCTTTCAAGAATTTTTGAGGCTGCCGGAGCGGAAAATTGAAATGGGAGAAAATACAAATTGCGGGGTAATAAACTGCAATGCCCAAAATCGCAATTTAAACAAGAAAGATAGCTCCCTCCAAAAAAAAGAAGATAAAGAAAAAGAAATGTTATTGTGTTTTGTTTCTTATTATGAAATTTATTGAAGTAATTGAAAAATAGATGGCGTTTAAATAAAAAGAGAAAAACTAAATAAATAAATCTTGCCCAACCCTGAAACCAGGTTTCTAGAGAGATTCAAGCCCCACACTTCCCAACACTTCCCAGTAGGGAATGCGAGCTACAAACTAGCACTCAGCAGACTTGTCTAATCGACAAAAAACTTATCCAGTTATTATTATTATTATTAATTTTTAAGGGCGTTTTAACGGCTAAGGTCATTTCACGCCCTAACATCCAAACCTTCTATCTTAGCTTAGCTATATCTCTTCTGAGTGCTATAAAGCTCTGACTCCAAACATTCACTCGTAAACTAATTTATCCTATTGCCATCCAAGGTTTAATTTTTCTTTTTTCTTTTTAAAATTCTCAATTTGGAAGGCCAAATATATGCAAAAATCCCATTTTAAATTACATATAAAATTAATTTCTGTTTCTTTTTTGATTAGAATTGTGAATTTTTGTTCCATAATTTAAACATTTCCCATAGACTTGTATGGCTAATAATAATAATAATAATGGAGTCAGACTAGCAACAGTCTCAGCATGAGTATAGGCTCATCCTTGTCCTTTTATTCTTCCATTCAAATATGATACATAAACTAATTCTACATAATAATAAGAAACAAAACACAATAACACTTTTTTTTTTGGGGAGCGATTTTTCTTATTTAAATTGCGATTTTAGGCATTGCAGTTCATTACCCCGCAATTTGTATTTTCTTACATTACATTTTTCCGCTCCGGTAGCCACAAAAACCTCTGAAAAAAAGAAATCTTGCAACTCTCATTCAAACATTAGCAGGCATTCAATTGTATAACAATTTGGGAAAAGGCCTAAATCTCATTATAAATTCCAATAAATTTGAGAAAGCTGAAAAGTGCTCTTCGAAAGAAACACTGGGGACCCAGTAACTCCTGTAAATCAATCGGCCTTTCAAATGATTTTGAAAAATTTTGAAAAAATTGAAAAACAGATGACGTTTAAATAAAAAGAGAGAAACTAACCCTGAAACCAGGTTTCTAGTATTATTATTATTATTATTAGCCATATAAGCCTATGGGAAATGTTTAAATTATGGAACAAAAATTCAAAATTTTAATTTTTTTTAAATTTTAAATAATTTTATATTTAATTTAAAATGGGATTTTTGCATACATTTGGCCTTCCAAATTTAGAATTTTAAAAGGATAAATGCTTTGGATGGCAATAGGATAAATAAATTTACGAGTGAATGTTTGGAGTCAGAGCTTTATAGCACTCAGAAGGGATATAGCTAAACTAAGATAGAAGTTTGGGATGTTAGGGCGTGATGACCTTGCCGTTAAAACGCCCTTAAAAAATAATAACTCAAAATGAACAATTTGACTTTCAAAGACATTTTCTTTGTAACTTAATATACAGAAATTATTATTTACCTGGTTCAAAAGTATATTTACGGTCATAGTAGAAACCATTAAGCCTTTTTTGTACAGAACCGATTTTGCCGTGTATCAGCATGTATTCATCACACGTCGCCACTTTTTCGTGCACCAATTGCTAAACCAGGCTAATTCAAATGAAAAAATGAGCAATTGAACAATTTTTGTATATCGGGATGGCTTTTTTTTTAATGAGAGGACACTTATCCCAGGGAAGGGGCTGTTTCCCACATCCACTCGCTCCTTGTTTGCTTTATGCGGATGCCGTGACCTCCAACTTGCAAATATGACCGGGGGGAAACATTTCCCGCTTTAAATTATTTATTTGCAGAAACACTTGGCTCAGGACATGAATACGTAATTTACAAAAAAATAAATACTTTATGGTAGATTTTTTAGGATAAAGAGGGAGTCTGTATTGTTCTTAATCCTTGTAGAGATTTCACCACTTTTATTAATTTTTCAGCCAGCGTTTGAATTTGGCCCCTCTAGGAGGGTCATGGGCTCTACCTCAGATTGCTTCCGATTTCCTGAATCTCGGCAAGATATTGTATCCAATAAAAATAAAAAACTTTTTGGCGATGATGTAGTAAAGAGAAAAAACTCCCTAGTCATCGTAAGTCGTGGGAAACTCTCCTTTTCAGTCAGCCGGTATTGAGATCCCGAACTGTAAGCTGTAGAACATAATAAACAGAAAGTGGAAGTTCTTTCGATATCCCCATTACGCCCAATAAGAGTTAAAATTTTGGAAAAGGGCCATCGACGATATTCCCTCGGAAACCTGCACAATCATGAAGAAAGCTTCAAAGACGTAAAAACAGACTCAGAATAGAATTATATTATCCAATCACCGAAGGAAATAAACAAATATCTAGGTATGCAAAATTAGACAAATCCGCTTATTTGGCACAATACAAACGTTAATTCAAATTGCTGAATTACTATCTTAATACAATTGCGGAATTATACGGATCTGTATACAGTCGCGACTATTTCATGATCAGTACTTGCAAATGTACGTTGAATAATCTGAACGTCATCTTCAAAAATATATGTAAACCATAACAATCCATTAATTTATCAATATATTTCAGACGGAAAGGGTTTAAACTTTTGGATGAATTAACGTTGTAGGAACCGCAGCAAACTTGTTTGGAACCCTAAATCAGAATGATCAGACTATTATTCAACTCAAATTTCAAACCTCAAAACAGAAAATGTCAAATCAAATCTTACTCAATCGAAGCAGCTTACTAAGGTTTCTGGTGTTATCTGAGATTATAAGCAGGGTGAGGCAAGATGCTAACTTCATTTATTCGAAACTGCGAGCAACCTCTTCTTTTTGTAACTTTACTTTTTTCCTATAGTTCAAAATGTTCCAACGGTCCTTAGAACCCGTAAAAAAATATTTTAAATAATTTGCATAAGTTTTGAAAAATATTGTTTTTTGCCTTTGTTGTGCATGCATTTCAAGGTAATTAAACATCAGTCGATTTAGGATGTAGGATACAATCATAATATGGAGGACTGTATTAAGTAAGATTAGATAGGTAAAACGTTACAAAAAAACACGTCCAAATAGAGAAGACAGATTTTTTTTAAATTTATAATTCAGTGTTGTTTTAAACACCACGCAAATGCTATGAATTTTTAATCTAAAATTTTCTAGCATTGCATAAACCCAAATTGGAAAACATATTTTTTCCTAAAAACCGAATCTATTGGAAATCACAAAATTGTTGATTACTTATTTGGAGATCGTGAGGTGCGGTCTGGTGTGACGTAGGTTTTAGAAAAACATTTTCTTTATCATGCCAACGTTTCGATCTTTATTGAGATCATCTTCAGAGCCTGGGATTTATAAACATTGTTTAAATTTTACAAATACATGTAGGATGTGAAAAAAAAGAATTTTTACAATGCTAGAAAATTTTAGATTAAAAAAAATGCATTTATATAATGCTAGAAAATTTTAGATTAAAAAAATTAATTTATACAATGCTAGAAAATTTTAGATTAAAAAAAATGTGTATAAATTCATTCTTTTTTTTAATCTAAAATCTTCTAGCATTGTAAAAATACATTTTTTTAATCTAAAATTTTCTAGCATTGTATAAATTCATTTTTTTAATCTAAAATTTTCTAGCATTGTATAAATTTATTTGTTTTTATCTAAAATTTTCTAGCATTGTATAAATTCATTTTTTTAATCTAAAATTTTCTAGCATTGTATAAATTCATTTTTTTCACATCCTACATGTATGTATTTGTAAAATTTAAACAATGTTTATAAATCCCAGGCCCTGAAGATGATCTCGATAAAGATCGAAACGCACGATAAAAAAAATGTTTTTCTAAAACCTACGTCACACCAGACCGCACTTCACGTTCTCCAAATAATCATTGGCTAACGGTCACTAAACATCACACAAATGTTGATTACTTTAAAACCTGCAGGGCCAATAGGCAAGAATGTACGGACACGTTTTTAGTATTTTTTGACATAGCATCGCCAAAAAAAGTTTAATTAAAATCGGGTTTTTAATGGACTGCAGACGCTGGGGACTTTAATCGTACCTGTTTATCCTGGTAAGCTTGTTATCACTGTATTTCAAGTTCATCTAAGCGGCTGTATGGTTAGAACACACAGCGAGAAAAAGCGGACCGGGACGATACACCGCACTTTTATAATAAACCTCTTGATTTGGCATATTGATATGGCAATTGATACTATTGATTCTCAATAATTACAGGCTATTAAAATGTTTAATATAAAATTGCAAATAAATTTTTAATTTGTTGTAGATGGATATTTGGCAGGAGATAACTTAGCCCAATACGCAGCAACCAAAAGAGCGGTAAGAATATTAATATTTAATTTGTCTTAGATTTTTCAATTGATAATAAAATAGAGAAATCGCTTTTGTATTTAAATATTAAATTTACAATCGAAATTTAAAAGAAAAAATTAAGTCCCTCGTAAATTTTTGATATATATTTTCATCGAAATTGATTCATGATTGATGGATTTAAATTGATAAAGGTTGGATTATTTTGATCGATTTTCCTCTGGCGATTTCATTTTATCGTTAATCGATGGGGGGATACGAGCATTGGCTTTTTTCACAGCTGTCTGGAAAGATGCCGAGAGTTGGACAGAGTCGGTGAAACGTGCTAATTTATAAAAGCTAATTTGCTAATTTACCCGGCCAAAGCCGAACTCGACAGTAACGACGTCGGAAAATTACAATCCGACCGTACGATATCAACGCACTGGAAGAATCCCAAAGCGATTTCCACGGGATGAACAATCCGACTGTAAAACCCGATGCATGATTCCGGAAAAATTAGAAAATTATTAAAGGAAGAAGAATTGTTTTGTGAAACTCTTGTTCCGTTTGTGCAGAATCAATTTTCTGTCTAGTCTCTCTTTCTGGTCCAGAGGCGATTGTTTTCATGCCCGTTTGTCCAGGTGCGAAGTGCCCAGAGCCTCCCACGGATCTAATTTAAGACGGTTCAGATCCGGAAAAAGAGAAATTCGTTGAAATTAAAATCAGTCCCGGCTCTATTTGGTAATTTGTACGGGTAAAAAGACTCCATTAGAGATCCTGCATCAGTCTTGGCAGTTTACTTCGTGTCTGGTCTTAGGTGGGCCTTAGACGATCAATTATATTGCACAATACAACGAATTGCGCAATATTTTTGACCTTTTAGGGTTAGTATTGAAATTTGCTCTAATGACTGAACGAAAGTTTGAGCGTTTTTTCATTGAATATTGGGCAATATTATAATAATAATAAAGGCACTTAATTCTTATAATCCGGAGATGAATGAAAACATATACAGGGCAACAAAAGTGCAGAATAATACAAAATGTGAATTGAAAAAAAAACACTTCTAAAGAACTTAAAGAAAAAGAAAAAACAAACTAAAAATGTAAATAAATAAAACTTTAAACGAAATTAACTTATACCAACATTAAATATTCATTTCATTGACATAAAAATATTTGTATTGCCATGCGTGTCTACAAAATTCTACAAGTGAAGTAGGCTCATAGTTTAACTTGTTAATTAATTGGTCTCGGGAAAGTGAACCTCATCCTAGGTGGAGCTTTATCGATTAGGAATATAGCGCAATATTTTTTAGCCTGTCTGAGTTCGAATGGCTAGGACATCTCGCGCGTTTCTATCGACAAAATGGCGGAGAAACCGAGCATAAAGAAACGGTATTCATCGTCGATTGATTTCGTTACATTCGACAGCTGTATAGAAAATGGCAGATTCTGTGAAATGCCAAGAGCAAGGATTATCAATATGGCAACTGCAGCCAAATCTTGGTCTGACATCTTACCCTAGGTCTTGCTCACGCAAAAGTATTGAAGTTTATGAGCTGTCAATAATATTGCATGATAAATTGGGATCAAGATTTGATTAAATTTTATCGCACGATAAAAGAATTGTTGTTATTGTAGGTCTAGGTCCGCCTTAAAACCTAATCCTGCTGGATTTAATTTGCCTTTACATCCAAAATTCAATTACATATTATTTTTATCATAAAGAATTCTCTGAGTTATATTTTTTAAATAATAATTAAGTACCTTAAGAGGCTTTTTGTGTAGAAATAAAAACAAGTATTAGTGCAAGAGTAACATTTGTATTTACCGAGGTTCAATGCTGTGTTGTCGGTTGGTCTGGTTTGGTGGCTGAGTTGTCGGCGTTTGTGAGGCGGTGTCGAATACTTGGTTGGCGAGAAGAGGCGGCTCCTCTTCTCGGTCGGATGTCCTTTTCCTTAAGACTCTGAGGACGTGGCCTGTCTCGAGCCAGCTGGGCTCTCCTTCCAGAGCGTCTTCCAGGGCGAGTTCCTCGTCGACGAGATTGTTGGCCGGGGAGCCTTCGTTACGGAAATTGTCTGACATACCGATTTCTATCAACTCAACAAACCTTTGTTTACTCTTCCACTGCTATTGGTCAGGTCGCATTTTCGTTAAACACGTGGGAAGATGTGTTGACCACATGTTTTTTCTTAAATCATAAGATAAAATAATTAAGTACCTAATTGAGACACAAATTTTATTATACAAATGGCCAAATATTCTTTAACCCTATCTACTTGAATCTATTTGAACTTGTAATTAATTTATTAAAGGAAGTTCCTGGATTTCCGGGCAGTACTGTTAAATTGTGAACTAATACAATAAGAACTTCCATATTCTGTTACAAAACAAAAGTTTTTCTTACAGCTTTTGGCTTTCGATTTTGGCCACTTCATCAACAACCAAGTTCATGTATTTTTACTTGTAGTCCAAATTTTCTAATCTATTTTCATACAATTTTTTTATTAATATTCGTTCAAAAATTGTTTTTCTTAATAATTCTGATTGGGAAATATAATGAGTGCGAAAAATCAAGACCAACAACGTAAAAATTCGCAGGTTCTCATGGAAAAAAATATCATTTATTTTTGGACAGAGCCAACAGCAATCATTATTTTCAGGTCAATATTTCTTTGGTTCACGTCGAAAAAAACTTTTTGACAAGATGTAATTTACACATTCAATCTTTAATTGGCTAAAAAGGATCTTTTGTTTAAATAATGTAAACAATTTGTTTTTAGTCTATTCAATGACACTAACCAACTGCAACAACGAAGCCTTGGGTTCTCTTCGAAATTTTTATTTTTTTTATTTTTGCCTAGATGGAATATACACATTCACTATTTAATTGTCTACAACAGGGTTGTTTATAAAACATCTTACAATTTACTTTTTTGATTAATTCTACAACACATACCAACTGCAACAATTTTTGCCTTGTCATCAACAACGAAGCCTTGGGGTTCTCATGGAAAAAAATCGTATTTTTTTATCTAGATGCAATTTACACTATTCAATCTTTAATTAGCTAAAAAGGATTATTTTAATAATTTAAGCAATTTAATGTTTTTGATTAATTTAATGACACAAACCAACTGCAACAATTTTTGTCTTGTCACCAACAACGAGACCTTGGGTTCTCGTGAAAAAAAACCTTTTGTATTTTTTTTGTCCAGATACAATTTACACATTCATTCTTAAACATAAAAACATTTTCTTAAATATTTCTAACAGCTAACAAAAGTTTTTGGTTAACAAAAGGATATGGTTATGATGGAAAAAAACTACTTTTTGTGTTTGTACAGATGCCAATGGAAAGGATTTTTTTTTAATGATACAAACAACGATTTGTGGTCATTTGTCACTAACTACAAAGCCTTGAGTTATCAAGGAGATTTGATACTTTATTTTTTTCTTTTGACTACCACTTTTGCTGCATCACCAACAATGCAATGCTTCCCAGGTTCTCATGGCAAAAACTTTGTTTTTGTTTTTGTTCAGAGACAAGTTACACATTACATTCAAACTTTAATTGACTAAAAACAATTTTTTAAAATAGTTTTAACAACCAACAAAACTGTTTTGGTTAATTCAATGATACAAACCATATACAACAATTTTTGCCGCGTCACCAAAAACAAAACCTTGGGTTGTCATGGAAAAAAAGACTTTTTATTTATTTATAATTTTTAAAAAGAAAGATTTTTGGTTTATTTGTCAACAACGAAGCTGCGCGTTGAGATGGAACTTTTTTATTTATTTTATATATTTTTATTAATAAAGTTCGATTTTCACCGCATACTTTCATTTAATTTTTTAATCAATTTTGAATCAACAGTTGTTTTTCTTATTAATTCTGATCAGAAAATACATTTAATAGGTCTTATAAACCAGGTCTAACTGCAAAGATTTTTGCCGCGCCACCAATAACGAAGTTTTCAAATCTTTTGACTAATAGTCCAACTTTGCAGTATATTTCATTTATTTTATTAGAGGAGAATATTGAAAAGCTCTTGTAATACAGTCCCAAAATTTTGACAATGACATTATTCCGCTTGGCAAATATGGTGGGAGAGACTGCAAAATTTTTGCCGCGCCGCCAACAACAAATCATTGTCATTAAAGAAAGCCCTGCTCTGTTTTAATTAATAATAAACGCAGGCTATTTTTTATTTTACGATATTATTTTACTCTTCTTCGGTCTTGTTGGAAATATATTTTGATCGGAATTGTCCCCTTCATTCTCAGGAAGCAGTTTGTGCCTGATCACGTTGCTTTCTTAACAGGCAAAAGATCAATGAATATGTAATGGATTTTTTATCCATAAAAAAAAATTTGTATCGAAGAGTATAAAATGTTGAAATGTAACTCATGGTTAAACTGCCCTTTTTGTCTTTTCTTTCAGAATTTTCATCCTCCTTTATTAATTTTTTACCTTAGATCTTGGTACTTGGAATGTGGCAAAAACAAAGGATTCCTGTAGTTTAACGAAGCTCGATCGTGTACGGAGAAGGCCAAAATATCCAAGTGTCCTTAAAAGAGAAACATCTACGTTTTGAAGTTGAATACAGTGGGTTGTTTTTGTTTTTACTTTAAAAACACACTGAAAAACTTGTCATCCTATGTAAACAATACTCAGGATTTGAAAGCAAAATAATGTCTTTTTAAATGTTTATTTGGTAATATCGAGTAAATCTCTAAACCAGGCACTTGGTATTCATCCCACTAGCATAATCATAAACATGAATATTAGACGACCTACATTAAAAAATTATTTTTTTCCCATTAGAGTGCTTAAAAACTTAAATTATTACTGATGGATATATTACGCCCAATTGACTTCATCCACTTACAACGATGAACTATGGATTTTCCAGGCAAGGGAGGAATAACAAGGAAACATTCTTCCTATCATTACCAATTATACGAATCGTTAAATTCGCCTTGAATTCTTGATCCGTTTGAAGGAAAGAGAGACGAAAAAATACGACATGAAAAGTTTTAACGACGTGTAAGACGTTTATAACTTCGGCCATGCTTTTCACCCCAACGGTTTGCATGCTTCGTGAATTTTTGCGTAGATAACAATGTATTAAAATAATTCAAAACGACAGTTGTTCCATACTTTATGAATACAAAATAAGTCTATTTTTCAGTTGAGAGGGTGGGCTTTATGCTTTATGCTGTTTTTAGTTTTCCAAGAGAAAACTAAAACATATGAAACCCAAGAACAAGCCCATCGTCCAACGCATTAACTCTATCTGTATATCATTTTAAACAAGTGTTTTGAATATTCTAAAAACCTTGCAATTTATTTGTTCATATTACGATTAAGAAACCAGGCTTCTCGTTTTCAATTGGAAAATAAATTTATGACAAAGCATATGGTTCTTATCTAGATAAAAGTGTATTTGTGAGACTTTATAATACTGATGAGCATTTTTTTTTTTTGTTTCAGACTAATCTTGGAGGGAGAGTGAGTATATTCATTAAGAGAATTTTCTTTCGGTTATAGGAGACACATTTACACCGGAAGAACTTTAACAAAGGGCGACCAAATTAGACAGAGGGATTGCAGCCGAATCACTCATAAAACTTGATTAATTATTTATCACTAAAAATAAAAAGACCTACTGTCTTTTTATCCTTATTTTAAATTTTACTCAGAAATAGTCCCAACGTTATCGCCATTTTGTAAATACCCACCTCAGACAACACCATCAATCACACTCCTGATAACATTCAAGTAGGAATTGGCGACGAAAAGACCGTAAAAACAAGGTGTATATAAATAAGCTCGAAACACAGTGTTAATATAAAAAAAGGGGTTCGAAGTTCAATGGGTCACCAATTTTAAACAAGGAGTTAAAGCGAAATTTCAGCAAGTTTCATTTTTTGTTAATAAATTTCGAATTGTACAATCGCGTTTGCTTTTTTATCAGTAAAATCATAATTAAACCAAAAACGAGTTTGACTCGGACGAATTTTGTATTCCGCCCGGATTTTCGTACTTTTGCCCGGTAAACAGAGGTAGCCTTTAATTTCCAAGCAAAACCAAAGTTAACTTGCTCCGTGACGGATTTTTCAATAACCGAACTTATCCCTGCAGAGGTAGTTTTGTTCTACTTGATTTTAGACTTAACTTTGATTTGCTAAAATCAACTTAGTTCTTTGATGAAAAGTTTGCACTATGACAGTTTTCAAGTTAGTTTGCTTTGCTAATTTGTTTGTATGGGCGTTTTAAAGGGATTGTTTCTATTTCCGTTGCGTGGGTAAGTAATTGAGAGATAAATATATAGAAAGATTGAGCGAATGAGAGAGAGAGAGAGAGAGTGAGAGAGAGTTGTAGAGAATGCATCGAAAGGTCGAAAGGAATGAAATTCACATTAAATTATTGCATAAGCACATAGAGAAGAAAGTGAAAACGAGATGAGATTGAGGTGGGAGTTATAGTGACAAGGAGAGAGAGAATGAGTGATATTAGAATATATGATATGATAGACTTGTTGGATGAATTCTACAAGCTAGAAAAGTAGTATAACGGATTTTATCTACCAGATGTTTCGATATCCTTAGCAGAAATTGTCCTTGCTGAAAAATTCAAACTTTCCAAGCTTAAAAGTCAAAATCCTCGTTATTCAAAACTAAATTTTTCTTCTTTACAACTTGTTGGATATCAAAGGGTAAAAAGCATACAAAAAATGGATTTTATCTGCCAAATTCTTAATAATAGTAATTAAAATAATCCCTTCCATAAATTATTAGCTTTTCCTAGCCTTGAAAATTCAAAATTTAGGTAGATTTTTATAGCACATATTGGACAGAATGTCTATTTTCGTTTTTCTGGGGGGTATTTTTAAGCAGGTTCATTTGTTTTTTTATTTGTTTATTACTGTGATTATTTTTTATTATGTGCGTACATTATACTGCCTTTTTTCTGTACGTATTTAATATTTACTTTTTCATGCATGTGTGTTGGTGTAATTGTGTATATATATATTTGCCTATGCGTGCGTGCGTGTGTGTGTGCGTGTGTGTGTGTGTGTGTGTGTGTGTGTGTGTGTGTGTGACAGAGAGAGAGCGAGTAGGATTTTGATATTGTTTCTGCTTTGCAGATATTTGTTTTTTTCAAAAATAAAACAATGAGAACTTAAATCAGGAAGTCTATTAATAGTTTTATTACTGTACAAAAGTACCTACTATCACTTGTATATATCCTGAAAAAAATATTACATGTTATTAGCAATAACTCAAAACAGTTTGGTTGAGTTTGAGTTTTATAAAAATCATAGCTACAAAACATTAATGGTAATGCAAGCTGTAATTGCTGATCATTTTAGTCTGCCTCTGCTCACTGTGTTTTTCTGTCTTAGTCCAAAATTATGTAACGACAAAATTATGAAACAATAACTAATATTATTTTAAAAATTACTGTTCATTGATCTATTTGTACTAATTTATTATTTTTTTCTTTCATCTCTACCTTCATCAACATTAGATGGTAAGTAGTGAAATTTATTATACCTTGATTTAACTTTGATATTAATGATTTTATTTTTTCTCCCATATATTTTCCCATGCAACAATTAGATGTGTCAAGTAAGTTTTGTTTTTAAATGAAAATTTTAGACAAAATTCTAATATGCAATTTTATTTCCATACAGATAGACAGCAGGGTAAGTTTTATAACATTTATACAATTTTTGAAACTTTATAATTATTTTCTCATTCAATGCGTCTTGGACAACAGAATTGTGCAGCGGTGAGTATGATTGGTTATAGCAGAATTTATATGTTACCAAAGGTTGAATCTTTTCTTGATTTTAGTTCAATGTCGGAAAGAAATATGTTGGCTACTCCTGGCTGAAAGGTAGCGACTTAAGGGTGAGGAGGGACTACGCTTATAAATCCGGTTCATACATCGACCCAATCTACTATAACAGATTAGTACGTAATTTGATTTAAAATAAATACAACAAAGTAAATAAACATTTTTTTACAGATGGGACCTAGGCAGCAACTACAACGATGGTATAACAAATACTGACGCTATGGAAAAGGCCAGTTTTTAACAGATAAATCTTCCTGTTGAAAAATACCATGTATCAAATTAAAATAAACACAAAGCACATAATGAAAAAGTGAAAATATCAGTTACGCCCTCTGAATGCAATAAATGTATCTATGTAAAAAAAATACTTAGAATTGTGTATAATAAATATGTTTTCTTTTGTTGTTCAATCAGCAATCTACCACAAAACATTGAAACGATACCAAGGTAGGTCTACAATATCAATTTCAACATAGTCATAACAGTAACCAAAAATAAAAAGTAGAATCAACTTTCATAGATTTGATACATCTATATTATTAGTGAAACAATTGAATGAAAGAATGAACTAACAAAAGAAAAGTTTTTGATGATGGATGAAACTGAACGAGGACAAATGTACCCAAATTACATTCACGCTAAAACAAACAGCCTTGCCCATAACGCCAAAAATTTAAATAAACCAACTGGACAAGTTGGCTCTGGAAAAGATGAAATTAAACTGATTTGCTTTATTATTAATCTAAAGGTTTTAAAAAGAATAGTAACAAGTTGTTAATATTGTGTCTATGTTTCAAGTCAATTATTAATTTATCACACCCCAACACACCAAGAACACTGCTTATCAAAGACTGGTGCCAAAAAGTGGAGGACATGACTGAATGAAGGAAAATGTACTCAGTGTACTTTCACAAGAAGAAACATCTTGCCCTCCACTCAAGTCAAATACCTAGGACTTACCTAGACAGCAGACTGATGTGGAATTTCCATACAAGACTTAAAAGACATCTTAACAGAAGACTTGTACAACTACAAAGACTCCTCGGACCAAAATCCGTCAAGAATCAACTAACGTTATACAAGACTTCACTACGACCATTTCAGATATATGGAATAGAACTATGGAGTACCACCAAGCCTTCTATTAGCCAACGAATCCAACGTTTCCAAGCAAAAGTCCTCAGAAGAATTCTCCAAACTCATTACTGTCTCCAACTTCACTATTTCCAATGACCTTAACATTCCTTATGTCAAAGAATTGTTCTGTTCCTGGTTCTTCAAGTTTCACTCCCATCTTTCAACCCTACTGCTCAAACCTTCGCCTCTACTTCCCATCCCAAAAACCCTCCACACTGCCTTAATCAACGATGGCTACAAGACCTCCTCGCCTTAACCTAATGTTGGTCAGCTTCTCATAACACATATCTTCAGGGAATATATGGTCCTTTTTTTTACAATGGATACCAGTAACTGGAGGAGTTCCCTCCTGAGCACTGCAGCTGTGCAGCTTATAGTACTTTATCCCTGGCTCCAAATGTGAATTTGAGCCCCCGGTGTGCCGGTGTTCTTCCATCGAAACTCATTTTGGGGTTGGGACTAAATTCAGGGTCACTGAGATCTGATCCCACTCCTTCCATTGATGAGTGCCGTGTCAATTTCTTTCAATTGCGGCCACTGGTCCCCTTGAGTATTTGGTCATAGTGTTATTGTTTTGCTTGACTAAATACAATTTGTAATGTGTATAACTCATTTACAGGATACAATTTTTTAAAAATTAATTTCCAAGTGGTTTGATTGATTATCAGATTCAATAGTATATTCCAGCTGTTTTAGCTAAAGAAATGAACAAATTTTGATCAATTATAGTCAAACATAGTTTAAGACAACAATAAATTTGATTGTAAATACAAGAATCAGAAAAGACTCAGTTGATTTTTGCCTGTTACTGAAGAACTATTCTCAATTTTTAAATTGCACAGCTAACATGCTAAGTACTGCAAACAATTTGAATTCATTAAGACAAATTATAAAATGTTTGATTATAATATATAAGAATTTAAAATAAATTGTCTGAGAAGCCGAGTACTTTGGTAGTTAATTGATTATAAATCTTGTTTAATCTTTTTTTTAAATAATAGTAACAATAATCTTAAAAAATCTTGTTTAAAACTGAACTGATGGCTCAATGAAGTATGCATTGAACAAGTCCACCTGCTTGGTTTTGACATATGGATGCCTTATAAATTATATAAAAATTAAAAAATGTTATAATTTTCTTTTAACAAAAAAAAAAAAAAAAAAAAAAAGCGCCACATGTTTCGCATTACCTACGACAATAAACAAATAATTTTTGTTAGTTTCATAAATGTAAGAATGATATAGGGATAAATAGAAACAGATGCATGATCTTCAGTTTCCTGGGATACCGTCGTTAACTGCCCTAGTGTTTTCCCTGACAACTCTGGTGAAACTCAGAGAGCGATCATTGTGACTGTAGGAATGGCCAATGGTGAAGGATTATTCTTTAGAGAGACTGCAGAATTTACAGTGAAAGGTCCGATACCTCTGTTCTGTGAAGAGGAAAAGAGGAATGTTTCCGGCTGTGGTGTCCTCGATCTCCACTTGGTCAAGCCATCCAGAATTGGTGAGATAGTCTTCAGGAATTACTACACAGCGACGATAAACATATTGATACAGAGAACAGCAGAGAATGACCCGTCTAACCGGAAGAATCTACCTTGGGAGATGTGGATACCTAAAAAGGTCCTCATGCCTTCACCGCACCTCGAAGAAGGCTGCAACGAGCTATTCTCCCTCTCTGCCACAGAGAGCCTTACTGAGTTGGACAGGGTCGTACTAGTCCGGTTTATTCTACGACAGCCCTCACCGATTTGGAATGTGTTCCGACTGGAAGAGATCAACATCTTCACCGAACTGCCAAGACTCGGCGCCATCGCTGCTGAATTCCATGAAGCCCAGAGACTGTTGGAGCTTATGAGGAAACAGACAGTCCTCGCCTTGACAACTCTTCCTCAATATGACGATCTCTTAATGGACCCCACCCTATCTGCGGCTGCTAAACAGCAGTTACAGCAAGTCGCACCTCCTATAGACAATTCACAAGCTATACCATACGAAATACAAAAACTCCCCATTACATAAAAATGAAATTATATTTATATTTGATCTACAGATGAACTTCTTTTCAATTAGTGATTAGTTTCAGCAATTATTAACTTGTGTAGTAATAACAGTTATCACTAAACAGTTAATATGAATATTGTTAAAAATAACTATTTGTTTTCCACCAAGCAGTGAAATTTAAGTTATGCTTCAAAATCTTTTACTTAGAAAACAATAGATTCTAAGTATACAACTGTCTAAAGCCCGTTGTCTTAAATATATTATTATTAAATTATTCTGTTTAATAACCAAAATGACAAATTATTTTAATTACCATTTTAGTTTTGTTTTTGGAAAAAATGTCCAAGATTCCCAATTGTAGATACACAATCTAAAATTCAAAAATAAGATCATTCCTTTAATTCGTTGAATATTGGGGGAATAAAAGTATAAAATATAAAAAAAATACATTAATAAATAATGGAGTGGCACATAAAACCTAAACACTTTATTGAGATGTCTGATACAAGAAAAAAAATTTTATACATTAAGTTCCAAATCTGAACAACATCCTGGAGAACTTACACTAGTACTTAATTACTAAATACAATTAGATATTAAATATGATAATTTTAAGCAATGAATTAACATGAGGTGAAACCAGGGTGAATAATAAGTTAAAAATCTGCTCTTGAATAATTTCATTTATTGAAAACACGGAGTGACACGCTACTATATTGAAAATAAAAAATTAACAGGAATGATTAATTTGTGTAGGCTTGTATCATTATTTGTCTATTGTGCGCCTCCTCTAAGCCTAAGCACCAAGTGGAGGGTTGATTCTTTTTGGATGTTGTAGTCAGAAAGAGTACGTCCATCCTCGAGCTGCTTTCCTGCAAAGATCAATCTCTGCTGGTCTGGGGGAATTCCTTCCTTGTCTTGGATCTTAGCCTTGACATTCTCAATGGTATCGGATGGTTCAACTTCCAAGGTGATGGTCTTTCCAGTAAGGGTCTTCACGAAGATCTGCATACCTCCTCTCAACCTCAAAACAAGGTGGAGGGTGGATTCTTTTTGGATGTTGTAGTCAGAAAGCGTACGACCATCCTCGAGCTGCTTTCCGGCGAAGATCAATCTCTGCTGGTCTGGGGGAATTCCTTCCTTGTCTTGGATTTTAGCTTTGACATTGTCAATGGTGTCCGATGGCTCAACTTCCAAAGTGATTGTCTTTCCAGTAAGAGTCTTCACGAAGATCTGCATTTTCTGTAAACAAAATAAAAACAATGTATGAGCATACAACCAAACAAACAAACGGTTTTTGATCTTGGTCTTTGCCCCCGTTTTGGACCAATGTCAAGGGATGATTCAAATATAGAAATAACTTCCTAGTTCATTGAATCTCATGTAAAAAACCTTATTATAAATAGCACCAGAAGTAATCCAACTTTAACTCACAGTCTTAAAATATAGATGATGGAAGGGGAAAACCACAAAAATACAACTGTATCAAATAATTGCACAATCTTATGCAAAGTAATAGTGCAAGGAAATTTACAAGAAGAAAACAATAAAAACTGCACTATCAAGTGCAGATACATACAAGATAAGATTATTTTAATTTTGAGAAACAAACAAGCATCACAAATGATACGATAAATAGCACAATGGAAGTAAACCTGGAAATTTGTGTTATGAAAATAGTACTGTTTACTCAGTTTATTATCATCTTAAGTAATTTTTATTATCTTCATTAAATATGATGTGTACTGACCTAATAAACTACACTTCAGAAAGAAAATTAAGGAAAATGCAGTTTTCTTCCTGGACTTAAAATCTTTCCAAACCAACAATGCTTCTTAATTGAATATTGACTTATGGTACCGTCATCCATCTTTTTTTTTAAATGCAATAATAAAAAAAGGTTTTTAGTAAATGACAATTTTTATTATGACTTTTGGCAGAACAAAGTAAAATTTGTGAATAATCTGGATCTAAGTAAAGTTTGGATGCAAAACAAATTCTATTGTTATCTGCCATGCTTTCAAGAAGTTCATCATCAGGGCAAAACAATCTTAAAGATGTCTACAAATTGACATAATTAAGTTTCACATCTCTATGATTGTTTTGCCCTGATGACCTTAAAAGAGGTCGAAAGCTTGACAGATAACAATTTAATTTGGTATTTCATCCAGACCAAACTAAGAGTAAAAAAGTCATCGATGCCTCTAATACTTTAAACAAAGTAATTTTTGTTTAAGCATTATAATTCTGTTCTCGCTTTATCAAGTTTTTTTTATATTATTTATTTTATTACAATCTGTAATTATTATTTACAATATGTAATTTGCAGATACATAAACTTATGTACAACTATTTACATTGAGGGGAGAAAATAATCAATGTTATCCTCCCTCTTCACTTTTTTTTTTTTTTAATCAGAAAGGAGGTTGCGGGGCCCATTTCCTCTTAAGACACCATATGGGGTTGTAGGGATGGGTTCTATTGGACAGGACTTGGGCAAGACTATTTGGATGGTGGGAGAGTTTTTTATGAAACTTGGTAAATTTTTGGGGAATAAATTTATGGATATAAGGAATTTGAAGGTCGTTGTGGAAAATCAAGAAGTTATTAATATTCTCAGCAACTGTTGCAACAATAAGTTTGTTATAATTGACCCCGTATAAAAAAAAAAGTGTTCATATATAAATAAACATAAATAAATAACGTGTTCATACATAAAAATAAATAAATATAATATAAATTTTTAATAATGTAAATACAATGTAAGCACTAAGATTTATATAAATTTTTCTTAACCAAAAAGTGGTCAATGACCTCTAGGTCGTTCAACCATCCAACAATTTCCATGGATGGCTTTCTAGCTAAAAGAACAGTTTTAAATAATGAGCAATAGAAAAAATTCATTAATGGCAAACAATGAGTGAACAAAACGTTATTACATTCAGTTCAAACTTGAAAACTAGACTCATCAGTACAAATGTTTTTCAGAAAGCTGGTACACATAAGTCTATTTCAGAATGCTCTATCTATATATCTTTTTTTAGAACTGCCTGATAATAGTCACACTGCTATTGTTACATATGAATAATTAAAATATTTTATAAAATATAATAGAAAACGTTTTGAATAAGCAGTTTCGAGGAATGAAGTCTATGAACTAACATTTTTACATTCAGGTTATACTGAATATCTGAACTGAGCTCACCAGTACAATTGAGTTTTTCAGAAAGCTCAAATTCACCAGTACAACTGAGTTTTTCAGGAAGTTAGTCTTGCTTTACTGGCAAATTATCAAACTAGTATTGTGACGTATATAATAATTTAAATATTTTATAAAATATAATGAAAACGTTTTGAATAGGAAATTTCAAAGAAGGAAATGGATGAATTAACGTTTTACATTCAGTTCATACTGAATAACTGGACTCACCCTCTCCAAACTGCGTTTTTCGGAAAGCTGAAGTTCACCAGTACCACTGTTTTTCAAAAAGTTACTTTTGTAATTTTTTACGGGGAAATTTTTAAACTACTATTGTTATGTATGTAATAATTAAAATAGTTTATAAAATATAGTGGAAAAGGTTTTGCGTAAGCACTTTCAAGGAAGGAAATCGATGAGAATGACTAACCCTTTGAGAAGTGGGGGAACAAAAGAATCATGTTGCTAACTGAAAAGACCCCAAGGTTGAAATAGAACATTCTGGAATCACTTACAACTCATAAGATAGTCAAAACGTTTAGTTGTTATAATAAAAATATAATTTTTAATTTAAAAAAAAGCTTTGGGTTAGAGAGCAAACGAAAGAAACGAGAAATAACGGGATCTAAAAATGGATACCTTTCCTACTGAACATTACAAAGATGGCCTGTTTTCCTAACGTTTTTTTATATTTGTTTTATATTTTACACTTTTGTGGTAAATGAGAAATTGTGCTTTTTTTACTTTTTAGGATAGGATTGTTGGACTGGGTGAATGTAAGTTTTCGATTTTTCTAGGGCAATGAAACTAATGTTAAAAACTAAATCTAAGCCTAAAGCATTTCAAAATGTTTATAAATATGACAAATAGTTTAATAATTACCTTTTTGTTTTAATCGTATGATGAAACAGGGTAAAAATTCCTTCTAGTCACAGAAGATTTACACAGTAATAAGTTTCGAGTGACGAATACGATGAGACGCTTTCTCCAGATCAATATATGCGACGGCCCCCACCAAGAGGCCCCCACTACGAGATGGCCGATGGGGCAATCAGCTGGTGGGCCGACCATCCGCGTTTATTTTTAAAAACCGCCGACGGAAATTCGGAGTTTCTGACCTTTTCAGATCGATGAACGCATTTCCTCTTCCTAAATTTGTCAATTTTAACGGCAATTTTCCAAATAGGAAAATATCGGGCAATTTATAAACCCTTGGGTCCGACACCATCAGAGTGGGGGGGAGGTCGACGCAATTCTAGAAAGCTAGACCCAAGAACGTTCGTCGTTGGTTTGGCCCTTGTTTTGGTTGAATTTTGCGTTTTAGAATAACACAAACAACTGCGTTCAACCGCAATACAAAAATATAACGTTCATTAATCTTCTGAAAACGACTATTGCACCTTTTTATGTTTTTAGTATTAACAACATTAATTTTTTTCTTTTTCCTCGTCCTCAAAAGTTTTTTAAATTAGGGTTATTCTAAAGAAGCACGTGGTATTTGAATTTTTAGTTTTTTCCTTCATTCGGGCTATTTTTCGCCCATCATCAGGACCCTAACAAGAAACATTCATAATTAACCAAAATTATAGCAATAGTAAAAGTTTCATAGTTTTAATTTAGGAGAGTAAACGAGATTGCTAGTTAGAGGTACTTTGAGCCATAAAAAACTAGATAAAAATGTAAACTAAAATTTCTTGTTAGGTTACTGAACACCACACATTTCTTGTTAGGGTTTTCTGTTCCTGAAATAAATAATAAATATCAAAGGGGCAACAATAATAATTCCAGGCTGCTCTAAAGGCTAAAGCCAAGATGCTCAAAAATTGTCTGGAACTGCTTCCATTCCCTGGAAAAGACTGGAAACTTCAAATTGCCTAAGACTAAAGAGGGCCCGGGATCATGAAGGAATTATAACAAGACAAATATACTTACTAAAAACCTGAAACGACTCATAGGCCCAAATCCATTTTGTGGCATAAACCTTAGCCACATTAAAAAAGAACAGCAATCTTGGGTAACTGAAGAACACAATAAATATTTGGAGTGGAAACCATGCATGAGACAAACAAAAACTACTCGCATAAACATCAATAGAAGAAAGAGGAAGTTCTACTTAATAGAAAGGAATTCAAAATTCTTAATTGCTATGGACATGCTCCAGTTAAATACTACCAACAAAATGGGTTTATCAACAAATGTCCAGGGAAAGAAACGACAGAGCATATCCTAGCAAATGGCCTGCAATACCTAAGAAAAGGCTAGGGTACCTGGGAAAGCCATACAGATCTAGATATTATACCCTAAGAAGAATTATTTACTAATTATTCTCATAAAAGAAACATCTTCCAGGAAATCCTATTGCAGAGATAAGCACAACAGACGAAAATGCTAAAGGGAGAAAACCCTATGACTCCTAACAAGTTAGGAAAAAAAAAATTTTCATATGAGATTATCATTCATTAGTGTTAGGTATTTGTTTGGAAGAGAAGTGTGGTAAAGAAAAGGTGTTAGTGAAGAAAGGAAAATTGAAATCTAGAAATGGTCAACTATTCTGGTGAAAGAAGCCAGAAAGGCAGATGAGCACGCCCAGTTTGGCAGACTGTTCCAGACAATCACAAATGATTTGTGACATGACAGTGTAGTGGTGTAAAAGTCTAGAACTAGATGAAGAAAGAAACTGAATGTGTAATTATTTAGGGGTTCTATATTTTGAGGGGTTTGTTAAGTAAGTAAGATGAGGTATTTATGTAAAGGAAAAATAACAATGGTGCAATGACTGAACCTTGAGGAACCACTGAGCAAAGGTCTAGAGGAAGAATTACCAGTACTGGTAGGTAAATATTGGAATCTATTAGAAAGGAAAGATATAGTTATATAGCACGCAAAATTAAATTTAAAAGTAGTAGATAATGTGTTAATGAGAATTTTATGTAAAATAGAATCAAAGGCATTAAAGGTCAAGAAACACTAGGACTGAATTTAACATAATAAAGATCATTAGTAACAAATTGGGGAAAGTCGGTGGCTGCAACAGTTAAGGCATTGTCATGGTGCTCATCATTGTAAAGATAAAGGTCACAGGTTTTGAACATATGAATTTTTTTCAAAACCACTGGCACCTTAAGGATCACCTCAGAGTTATAATACCATGATAAAAAATAAAAATATAATGGTTACCATAAACTGCCTCAGAACTGAATACTACTTTCAAAAAATGACAAGCAAAAACTAAACTTATTTTTGCATTAACTTAACATTTATTATATTTATGAGATTTCTATGTGTAGCCTGTGAGGGTGATTTACATGTATTGTGTAGTTACTTGGTCTCATTTTGGCTTTTTGCCATCTTCAGTCTTCTGTACCATCTTCTGTTTGAATATTTAATTGATAAAAATTGGTCGTGATTAAGTAATTAAATTAACTTTGACTTAAAATTCTTTCCTAAATATAAAATATCCATTAAATAATTAAAGGCATTAGACCTGAAATAAACAGTAAATATTTACATATCTCATTATTTAAAAGAAGTCAATGTGCAAGTAAATTTTTAAGGTGGAGATAAAAACACAAATATGATGTACTACGAGTATTTTATTCAAACCATCAAAAAAATTTACATAAATAATTTTATACAATATAAAAAAAGAATTGAGGGAAAGGGGAAATAAATTTGAAAATATATTTACAAGTCAAATAGTTCAAGGTATAAAAATTTCGTCAAAGATCAGATCGTCCGGCCAAAAAACCTGTTGCTTCCAATTTGTTCGTTGTTGTTATTATTGTCGTCTTCTATCATATCTACGTCCCTTTGAGGGTGGTCATCCGTCTGTTTCTCTTCATCTTCATTCTTGGCCTCTTTGATCGAACCCAATAACTTCCCCAGGTCACCTGTTGGCGGTTGCCAGAGCACAAGCGCATTCATGGGTCGGCGGCACCTTTCAAGAATCTGCCTCGGTAGTATCTGAGTGCTCGTTGTGGGCATGTTCTTGATTTCTTCGCATATCGTGAGCTTCGGAAGCGTCTCCCCATTCATCTGTGATTCTTCGACTTGGGCAGAACACTTCCCATGGGAGGTGAAATCATTCGACAGATGGATCCCATTTAGTTGCGACACCATACGCTCTTCTGATATACAAATTTTGGCTGGTGGTAAATCTTCGTCCAGCGAATCCATGCTGATCTTCCTCTTTGGATGCGGTATGGAATACCATGGTGAATAATTATAGTTCATGGGATAATTATGTCCAAATGGAAAATTCTCGTTTCTCCACATCCTGCAACTAAAATTGAAAATTGGGCTCTTGGATAATTCTCTTCTACAAACTATAAAAATAACACACACAAAAAATAATCATTTGTATTTTCCTATCACTTTTAATGATGGATGATATTTCCATTTGTGTACAATGAACAAAATTAATGGAAATCATTATTTGGTGATCGTGAGATGTACTCTGGTGTGACGAAGGTTTAGAAAAACATTTTCTTTATTGTGCCAACATTTCGATCTTTATTGAGATCACCTTCAGGACTCTAAGTTTTGAGAATGTTGGTACACGACACACAGCAATGACACATCTACAAAGAAAACAAACACTTTGAGCTCTAAAGATGATCTCAATAAAGAACGAAACTATCTCCAAATAATCATTAATTAACGATCACTAAATACCACACATTAATGGGAATGTAAAATTAATAAAATTTTAATTAATATGTTGTGTTCAGCAATTTTAGGATTATTTATCAGAACTGATCATCCTCGTCCACCTATACTCCAAATTTTCTATTAAAAAAACAAAAACAAAAACCATATATTTCAATTACAAACATAATATCAAATAATTATTTTTTCCAACCAATCCAATCAATATTCGATAAGTCAACATGTGTTTTTTCTCTACATATTATGGAGAAGTATAAATATTAGTTCTACAGGATTATTTAAAATAATTTTAGTTCATAAATACGTCATGTTTAAAACAAAGGACAAATAATAAACTTGTGCAAACATTGAGGACGGTGTGACTAAAATCAGTGACAATTGAAAATGCGTGGGATTTGCAGCAGTTTTATTTAACTGCAGTTTGATCTTCCTTGATTACCCTAGCCTAAGAAAAATGATAAATATTCACAATTTGACCATACCTGATCATTCTAATCCACCGTTCATTGGACAAATTTTTAATTTTAAATAAAAATACAGAAAACATTTCCCTACTCTTTGGCATTTAATTAGATGAAAAACAAGTAAAAGTAGAGCAATGTGGTGACGCATTTTCTTTTTTTATTAACTTTGTACGCACAATCATGGTCACTGTTGTTCCAAAGGTTAAAAGAGTTGTTGGCTCACGAGCTGGCACCAGATTGCGGGTGCCGCATCAGATGCACACGTGGGTTAGGGTACCAGATCCTGTCTGTATAGACGGGGGAAGGTGCATAACCATCTGAACTATGTGACAGTAAAATACTGTTCTAAGTCCAAGCCCAGCTGTGTGAGAATGGACTTGTAGTGGTTTAGTGGCGAGACCCCTAGCGGGTGTATAGAGAAGAGGTTGATGTTCTATCCGTGGCCGTCCGCCTACACCCTTAGGTTAGGCCGTCAGCCTGCATGGCCCTCTGAGTAACCTCCTGACCTCTCGGGAGACAGAGCAATCAGACTGCCAAAGTGTACAGTATATGAGGAGGCAAAGACTAAGCTGACGGAATCCCTGGAATGCGTAAGGAATGATGGATGGGAACAGATGTTGTTCGGTGGTGCCCACATGGGCTTCCTTTAAGGAAGGCTCGGTATCCTCTAGGGGATGGTTAGAAACTCTACATGAAACAAACCGTGGCCAGAGCGGATCCGGAGATTTCGATGCTGGCAGAGCCTCTTTACCCAGGGAGATAGAGATGTCTTCTCTATCTAGGGAGTGCGTGGGAGACCAGCTGATGCATTTTGGCCTTATTAGGTATCCATTTACGTGCGGCACACTGTGGAGTGCACAATGTTTACCCACCCATTCAGAAGGGGGCAAGCGGGAGAAGTCAGTATGTCTGTTTGATTAGTCTGTGGATCTGCGGGCTTCTACACCAAACATACTGTGAGCAGACGTGGCTCACTCCTAACTTAAGAAACTAACTGTGTGATAAGGTATGATGGCTAGGTGCACACATTAAAGAACCTCAATGTTATAAGAGATTGCGCCCCCAATGGGAAACAAAAAAAAATGTTCCAAAGTGTGGGATGTGTGAACTTTCACAAGAAATTTGTCTATCATTATCAACAATTTCACTTCTATCCGTTTAGGGATTTTAGGGATTAGGTTTTTTTTTTCTTTTTTAGTTTCAAAGAAGGCATATGAAAACAAAGAATCGGACGACAGTGCAATCTGCTCGACACATTATGAACTGTGTGAATGACACCATGCTGCACAATATCCCATCAGTCGCCTTCATTCAGAAACAACCCAAGCAACTAAAAATCCTTATCTCATACCAGTCGCCTGCTAGACCCCCCGTCTGACCATATCTGTCCCTACGTAACATCCGTCTCCTTGATACCGATCTCTCTTGGTGGACCTTACCCTACTGCTCGAGGCCTCTACACATTCCTCATTCCCATCCCAACAACCTGCCATGTCGCCATGATCAACAATGGCCTCGAAACCTTCTACCTTAATCCTTCATACTTAGTGCGAGCATTGCCTGGCTTTTCATAGCATACGTCCTCTGGGTAGCATTGGCTGGCATTGGTGCTAGTACTATGACAGTATGATAAGAACAATGAACACTTTGGATCGAGGTGTGGTCTTGAGGAAGAAAGCAAATTTAGTTGCTACTGGTAAGCTTTTAACATACTTTAAAGTCATCACATAATGATTAATTTTCATAATGTGAAATAATACAGGCCCTAATGTGTGTGTTCTCAAGTGAAAAAGTGGTCAATTCTTCTAATACGAAGACAAGAACAACACACAGTGATCATAGTTCAAACTATATATATTAAAAAAATCTCTTGACCGGTTTTTTTGTATTTGAGCGCATATACTAATATATTTTTTTAAAAATTTATGGTGATTGGTAATAAATTTTGTAGTTAAAACTGAGTTTTTATGTATGAATGTTTTAAGTAAAGGTCAAAAGATAGATTTTTTTTTATTGATATTTTTAGACAAGTAAATGTTTTCGACGAGTTAAAATATCTTGTTCTAAAATACAGAAGTGCTTACATAATTTAACAATAATATTGGCTGTTTTGGTGGGTTGTTTTTGTTTTGTTAACCAGATCGGTTGGAAATTGAATTTCTAAGGAAGGGTTTCTGGTTTTTGGAAGTAAATCAAGTTTACTCACCAGGAGACAAAAGCAAAAAAGGATTATCACATCAAAACAAAGAGAGAAGAATTGAGAACGGTGTCCCAGTGTGATTAAAAGTATAAACAAACAGCTCTAACGAGAAAGTGAGAAATTAGAATGGAGATAACCGAGTACCAACCATCTGAGATTCTAGGCCGTTCTGGAAGGGGCGCCTCGCCGACAATTTTGCCAACCTGTGCCAAAGAGGCCGAGGGCGGACGCAATTTCGCTTGGGCGCAACACCAAAAACCGACATTTACGCACGGTGAAAATTCAATCGGGCCGTTTTTTTTAATTTTCCGAGCCGCGCCTCTTCCTCAATCCTCAGACGCGCTGGCCCGTTTCGATTCCGCCGGCATGAAAATCCTAGATGTTTTTATCGATTTTGCCCGACTCGGTCACTAACTGCTCGGGCGAGCCGAACCTAGAAATTAATTTACCGATGATTTAATTTTAATATTAAATTAAACAGACTTCTACGAGGATTTAAGGGCCTTCGAAGATTTGCCGTCTCTCCTGCCCCCCTTGCTACTCAAAGGCCCTCTTCGCAAGGTTAGAAAGGAAGACAAAGGTAATAATTGTTGACACTTAGGGAGTTAGTTTCTTTTTAACTCGTATTCTACTATTTATTCAATTCACCAAGAATTCCTATTAGTTCTACAACAAGAAGTCAAATTGTTTTATTCAAATTCAACACTATGAAGATCCTTTTAATTTTTGGGTGTGGTATTTGAAAACAAGAAGAATTTGGCATCTGACAGCTAATTAGGAAAACCACATTTGGCATTAATTTAATGCTCCGTCCCACCGTTGTCAAATTTATGATCATCCCCGGCTCTAAAACTGATTAGTTTTTTTAGAATTTTAAATTGTGGTTTATTTTACGATTTTATTATTGTCTAGACATTGTTAAAATGAATTTTTGGTATAATTTATTCCAGTTTTGTTGTACTGTTTAATTATGTGTTATTTCAGTAGTGTTTTGTAAAGTTTTATAGTAAATAACATGGTATTAGGCATCTCAATAAAATAAGAATAAAATTTTTAAGGCATTAAAATTATGGTTTAATCTATGATATTATTATTGTCTAGCTATTGGTACAATTTAATTTCTTCCCACTGCAGACAAATTTATTATCATCCCCGGGTCTAAAACTGATTAGTTGTTTTTGAATTTCAACAATAAGAATTCAAGAATAAACCAAATTCTATGATTTTGTTCTTGTTGTCTAGCTATTGTTAAAACATATTTTTGGTAAAATTTATTCCAATTGTGCTGTTCTGTTCAATTATGTGTTATTGTAATAGTATTTTGTAAAGTTTTTATAGTAAATAACTTGGTATTTGGCAGCTCAGTAAAACCAGATTTTCCATTAATTTAATATTTCCTCCCACTGTAGACAAATTTATTATCATCCCCAGGTTTAAAACTGATTAGTTTTTCATTATTTCAAATTATGGTTTATTCTATGATTTTGTTCTTCTTGTCTAGCTATTGTTAAAACGTATTTTTGGTAAAATTTATTCCAATTTTGTTGTTTTGTTCAATTATGTGTTATTGTAATAGTATTGTGTAAAGATTTTATAGTAAATAACTTGGTATTTGGCAGCTCAGTAAAACCAGATTTTCCATTAATTTAATATTTCCTCCCACCGTTGTCAAATTTTTATGATCATCCCCAAGTTTAAAACTGATTAGTTTTTTAGGATTTCAAATTATGGTTTATTCTATGATTTAAATTCACTAATTTCGTGGTCCGCTTGACCAATTAATATATTACAATTAATTAAGGTTTTTAGTTGAGATATGGCACGAGCGGGATTCGAACCCACGATCTTCGGCTTGATACGCCGCTGCTCTACCACTTGAGCTATCGTGACCTCCATCCACACGGACACCAACTTCCCATCTCAACTGCACCTTTTGAATTTTCCCTCCTTTTTGCTCGTCCATTGACTTTTTTATCTCAAAAGAACTTCATAATTAGAAAATTTGTAAACATTCTATATTTCAAAAGTATTTAGGAGATGTTATCTATTTGTAACTGGCTTTTTTATAAATGCAAGTATATAGAAGAAGAAACAAAAAAAAAAGAATAATCAAATACTACTAACCATGTTGGTCAGAAGAAAATGGAGGTCCAATAATTTTTCTTCTTGCTTTCCAACCATAAACTTAAAAGCTTAAGTATTTTTGATGAAAAGAAAAAAAACAACAACAAATGAATTGGTCTGCTCAAACCATTGAAACCAATAAATATAATTTTTTTTAAATATAATTTGTTGAAACAGATGAGATGTATTGTCTTCAGATTTTTACTGTGTGTTTATTTATTTTCTTTTACTATGTTCTTTATGCTAAATTATATTTAACTAGGATATCAAAAAGAAGTAAAGTGATGAAATTTACATTTCAAATTGTGAAATTTACAATTCAATATTTTAATTGAGCCAAGTTGATAGAGGACTTCTTTTAATGCTAATAGGTTTTTTTTTTAACTTATTACAACTGTGATTTTATTTTAATTATTTATTTTATTTTAATTTTTTTAAGAATTGTTTAGTGGATTACTATTCAAGCCGAAGTGATGAATGAAGTTAGCAAGCCGATGGAGCCACCACACACTCGACCCACCAGCTTACAGCACCCCAACTCACTCCAATTGAGCAACACTGCAAGTAGGTGGTTTATTTCACCAAATGTTTCGAGGCTTCGATAACATTCTGTTCTGCAGGCCCGGCAAGTCCGACTTCGCCTAACGGTCAGAATAATGACGCACACATACTGAAATCGCAACATTCAAAAATAGAGACGATAAAAAACTGGAGCATTTCTACTTACAAATGCACGAAGCAGTTAATGTTTGAAAAATTAGGAAAGACCTCTCGGACGGTAGATACAGGTATGATTTTTTCCTTTTTTATTAGTTAATTGTTAATTTCTTAATTAATAAATTTATTCTTTATAGAGCTTGAAAGGCAAATTGAGCTTTTACGTGATACACAAAGGAAATACTCAAATATCCTCAGGCTTTCAAGAGCATTAGCTAGTCATTTTTACCATGTTGTTCAGACACAGGTCATTATTTTAATCCTTCATTAATTTTGTAACATTCACTTATTTGAATGCATTAATTAATTTTGTTTTTTATTTAGCATGCTCTCGGGGAAGCGTTTTCTGACTTGGCTCAAAAGTCCCCTGAGCTCCAGGAGGAATTTTTGTACAACTCTGAGACACAGAGGAATTTGACTAAAAACGGGGAGACGCTGTTGAGCGCGCTTAACTTTTTTGTATCATCTGTAAATACGCTATGTAATAAGACAATAGAGGATACTTTATTAACAATCAGACAATATGAATCTGCGAGGTATTTCACATTTTAAAAATGCCCTGAAGTTTTTTGTTTTTTTAAAATTGTAATTTTGTTTTATAGGATAGAATACGATGCATACAGGACAGATGTTGAAATGTTGGCACAAATGCCTCGCTGTGATGCGACTACAGCGAGGCTAGATGAGGCCCAGCAGGCTTTTGAAGCACATAAAGAAACATTTGAAAAGCTCAGGTCCGATCTGACTGTCAAACTGAAATTCTTAGATGAAAATAGGGTAATTTTTTTTTTTTTTAATTTAACTGTTTACCCATTAATTAACCTCACTTTATTTTCTTTTTAATTTAGATTAAAGTCATGCACAAACAACTACTGCTGTTTCACAATGCCATTTCAGCTTACTTCTCCGGCAACCAACAGGGACTTGAGGCTACGTTAAAGCAGTTCAACATTAAGGTCAAGTCACCCAACTCGTCCATTCCATCATGGTTAGAGCAGTAGTATGACGCTCTGGGGCATGTAGTACAAGGAGGGCGCAGCCCACCCTTGCCCCTAGTAGCTGCTGACTTGCCAGCGCTTCTTAACCCCTGTCTGTATCACTAGGCAGGTGGCAAATCTGAAGAGACATTGAAATTAAAAAAAAAAAAAAAAAAATAATAAGAATATCCTAAAAGGGATCATTGTTATTTTCATTATGTAATGTTACTTAAAATATGTGCTTAAGTATGCTTTTTACTGTGATGTGAGTACGATTGATTATTATTTATTTTAGGTTCATTTAGTCGGTTTTTTAATATCTCACCGATTCTTGTGGGACTTGTTTGTAACCTTTGATTTCTAACTTTGCCTATATTTTCTCTCAAAAAAAATTTGTTTTTGTTTTTTTCAAAAACAAACAAATCCCACTTGTAGATGTTTCAACGGTTTTAAAAGCCATAATCTCTTTGTCTAATACTTGGTAAAATGAAACGGGGTGAAATAATAATCTAAAAAGCTTGACCTATAAAAGAACAATGTATGTGATTGTATATATAATTTTATAAAGTAAAAACCACAATGAATACTTCGCTAACTGCCTCATATTTAACTCTCTGTTACACTTAGTATCTAAATAATAGCCCTATTTAACTATTTAGTGGAGAAAGATTTTTTTTTTAAATCAGTTCAGAATACCAGGGTTGCTAAGTAATTTAATGCATTCATATCTTGGTACTTTCAAGTAAATGTGTAGTATGTGTGAAACATGAAAGTTAAAGTTAGATATAAATACTGTGTGATAGTAATATAGTCATTTTTTATATCCAAAATGGGTATGCGTATATTTAAAACTTGTCCTAAGCTTTTTGTCGAATGTTAAAGAATGATAACTTCTTATTTTAGATTGAAATTTGTAAGAAAAACTACCTAAAACGAGCTGCCTGCCTGTACGACAGCAATTTAGTAATTATATTATCATTAAATTCGATAATGTTAAATTGTACAATTTTAAACATTCCAAATAGTTTCAAAGAGAAATAAAACGGGAACAATTTGTATCAAGTTTGATCAATACTGGCCATATCTGTACTACCAGTGCTCAAAAGAATCAGTCCAGATGAAATTTCTTACAAGAATTCCAGAGCAAAAAAAAGGTTATATCTCCCTGAAAAATCCACATTGTTGCATCTAGCTGAAAAATCTGTGATCTTATTATTTCCACATCACTGTTTTTTGTTTTGTTTTTCAAATTTTCCTATGAAACTTAATCCACATCACAGTAAAAATCGAATTAAAAAAAAAATGCCATCTCTAAGCAAGTTTCAGTATTATTTTCAATATTGTTTCTCATTCCATTGATATGTATGCATGCACTCTGCAACACTGTAAGGAAAAGGATGGCATTATAAAAAAAAATCTTGTAGTCTAAGGGATATTAGAAGCCATTGTCGTTACACTTTTATGCTGTAATATCACCCTTTTCCTATTTATTTATTGATATAAAACCAAACTTTAAAACAAAAATGTGCAAAAACATATCTAGTCAGACAATGGAGTCACTTGAAGAATTATTTTCCTTGATATTTTATCATTTCATTCCTTCTTTTATAAATATATATACATAATTAAATGTTTATGAGATAATTTATATTAAATGTTTGTTAGAAAATGTTTGAGGTGACACTCGATTTATTTTATTATTTTTTTAACAGATGTTCTAAGTCAACTTTTTGTAATGTTTCAACTGTTGAGGAAACATGCATTCTCATTGTTGCATCAGAAATCTCATCACCTTTTATCTTTCAAAAAAAAAAAAATTGCCTTTCCAAAATATAAAACTCGTAGCAGAAGAATGAGGACTAATGTTAGAGCCCACTTCTCAAAATGAAACTGAAAAAGAACATCCCTATAATTAAAGTAAGGAAAAGAACTATTCATTTTAAAAACAATGGCTTTAGATACAATAAAAAAAATAAGTGTACCTTAAGAAAATTTATTTACAAAAACAAATAGTTATAGCAAGGAGTCATTAAAATATTTGGATATTTTTTGAAATTTAATGAACAATAAATTAAATCTACAAAAAAATATAGATTTTTCTAAAAAGACCATGAGCGAGCTGAAATTTGAATAGCCAAGTATTTAAACACAAGGCATTTATAACAATATACACTATAAATTAATTATTATTATTACTATAAATATTTATACCAAAGAAGCAAGTTCATTTGTGTACTGCAATAAATCATAATTATAAATTAAATTATGAAAACAATTTTGTTTACGTCTCAATCTGATTCGTATGAGAGTACCTTATATATATCTTATAAATTTGTCATACTTTCAGTCAAGATGATGTTTTTTTTAATTGTTAAATTTAATAATAGACATTCAAGTTAAATGTTTATGAAACAAAATACTGCATATTTATGCAAACATTTAAAAGCACTGCTTATATGCTAAAGATTTTTTGTTTTTTAATTTTATTTATTAAATACACGAGGATGATTAAGTTTTACTTGGCAGACTTTGTACAATTATGTTTGTTCTGGATGCTAACATTGAAAAAAAGAGTAAATTGGTCGGTATTGGATATTAACATACAGAGAACTTAGCCATTCAAGTTTAAGAAGAGAAAATAATATCGTCTGTTTTTATGTGATCTGTCACCTTTTTAACAGCCAACTTTTACCAAATGCAAACCACTTGAATTTTAAATTTTCAATGTCTTATCACCCTTTTTTTTGTTGGATGAATAAATTTTTTTTTTAAAGTACAGCCTTATTATTTACTAATTGTGTGCGATAAGCTGAATATTAAGGACACGCAAATCTGTCATTTATTTTGAAAATTGAATATATTATTTCAGAATTGTTGCAATTGTTACTTTCTCAGTGATTGAGCCTGTGTGTTTTCTAACGAGTTTTCAAGTCAGGATTAGGCATTTTCTATAATGAAGACACAGATGGTGAAAGACATCTGACCAAACATACGTTGGAAATATGCATGGGCAGTTAAATAGAAATATTTTAAAAAATGTGCTAGTTAAAAATTTTACTAAAATTTAATCAATAATTATTTTTCCCAACAATTTTGCTTTAACGAAGTTTGATTAGGCAATTTTAAACTTATTGGCTTAAACCAACCACAAAATATTTGCACTCATGGTTTGACCACCTCTGGCCATTTTCTGGTCAACCAATTTTCACTTTCAGATATCTAATGGCTTTTCTAAATTCTCAGTGAGGGACCGTGTGTTTTTGCAGCTAACGAATAAGCCTATTATAAAGTTTATAAAAAGAAGAAATAGTTAGGGTTAGGCATTTTGAATTATGAAGAAAAGAAAAGATAAACTGAAAGCCACAGTAGATGAAAAGTGGTGAAAACAAGCAGTGCACTGACCAAGGCAATTTAGTTGTTGCAAAGATCCAGCAATTTTGTCAAAATGTTGTAAAAATATGACTACTCAGTACAATTGTACGATACAAAGGAAGATGAAGGAGCATTGTGAGTTTTGTTACTCCTTGATCATGATGCTGCTGCTACAGATGGTGAATTTCTCAGGATTGTATACAGAGTTCGTACTTTACCAACTGCAGATAAAAGGACTATTTGAGAAAACTTGGCATCAAGATTCTCCTAATTCGTTACAAGCACAAGAAAAACGATGTTGTTTTGACTCCAAGCGTATGGAGCGAATGTTTGACTGGATTGCGTATTCAATCTGGTTTGCAACATTAACTGACTGAGTTAATTTTTTTAATTGCTTTGTATGGTAAATTCTCGTTTGAATCTGAATTGCATTTATTTGGGCTACTCAGCCTTTGTTTCATCAGATCATAGTGGATTATCAAAGAATCATTGGTGATTTCCACCAGGAGGTTGATAGAGTAAATCAAAGGAGCTGAAGAGGAATTTTCAGCATTTTTATTTTATTTAATTTTTGTCATAATTGTTTTATACAGTCAATTACATAGCTGGACTGATGTCTAATGTAAGTACAAAAGTGTTGTGACACACAAAACCATTATGAGACCACGAGAATAGCACCATACTTTAGGCCCTGAAGATGACCTGAATAAAGGTCGAAACGTCGGCAAAAAAATGAAAAAGGTGTTTTTCTAAACTACCTCATTCTTGACCGTTTTTCACGACTTCAACACAGTAAGTCAAAAAGGTGGAAGATTTTGGAGAAGGACAAGTACAGTGATGAAAAAATATTATGGAAAATCCTATCAAATACAAGAATCGAATGCCCTAAAAACAAGCAGCCCAACCAGATTTCCTAATTGTCTGTTCTTTTGCACTTCGAACTTCCCAGAGGGATATTCTGAGTTTTCTCAACGTTATAACAGTTAAAACCAAAATGCCTATGTTTAATAGGCTGTAATCAACCATATAAAACTCCTATTTCGATCGCGTTTGATGAATGCAAGAATCGCGAAAAAGGAAAGGTGGCTAACTGGCCTCACCCTGCTTATATCCCTTACGTCGCACAATCTACCTAGTCTTTCACTTCAATTGAACCTAGGACGGATGTGAATTTAATAATTATATATTTTTCGAACAGACAAAATCGGGAAGTTTTCCGAAAAATTGATTTTGTAAAAGAAAGTCTCGTTATTTATTCATATGTGCAAAGCAGCACATGTGAAGGCTGGAGAGTTTTGAATGGGAAATGTTTTATCAACGGTTCTATCATTATTGATCAACCGTGGTTCCGTCTATTTTTGCTTGTTCATACCGTTTGATCAATTTGCTGACACGTGTAATATATTCTACACCTTGGATATGAATATGACCTTTAGTACATTTATTTTTTTTAATTCGTATAAAAAAAGCAAATAGAACTATTGTGCTTGAGTCTAGGAAAAAAGGTTTCCTCTCGTAAACAACTCCTGGAGACCTGGAGTTATAGTAGGAGGTAGGGGCTTTTATTCCAGCTTTAGACACCAGAGCTCCCGAAGCCAAAGAAAGCGTTATAAATCTTTTATCAGGGTTTTCGAGACCCCTGTTCACCTAGGGACCAGAGTGCTTTAAACTTATATCCAGGTTTCAATTAAAACCTCAAAGTCTGTCTTGGTAGGCTTGGCTCCCTTATTACTCCGGCATAATCATAGATTAAACCAACCTGATAGTGGTTTTTCACCTTATTGAAGAACTTTTCCACGTTTCCTTCCACTCTATCACGCTTTTAAAAAAAATTACAAAAATGAATGGAAACATTAAAGACAAATGGTACGCCTCTTTATCAAACATACGACTAACTAAAAATACCAACGGCAAACACGACACAGTTTGCAGGTAAACACATTACTTTGACCGTTATTACACACAACGTGATTATTTGAGCTTTATTATTTTTAATTGTAACAGATATTGTTAAAAGTCCGAAGTTGGAGAAACGGTACTTTGGACTTTTGAAATATTTCACCCATCAAATAATAAGATTCGGGCCGATTTAGACTAAAAGTCGACCAATGTGTTAATTTTTATTCTGACTCATGAGTTTAGCCGGAATTGTGTGTATTGCAGAAGTGTTGCTCTCGGCGCCGTTTTTGGTTTTCTTTTATCGGACATTTAGAAATTCTCCCTTCTTCTATATTTCTTATATGTTTCCGCACTTTGGTTAGAGGGTTTTTCGATATTTTAGTCACAGATCGACAAAAACTTGTGTATAGTCTTGAACGGATAAGTCATTAATTAATGACAGTCCGGTGTTCATGGAAGTATGTATTCACTTGTCAATCATCATTGAGGACTCACGATTCAACATGAATTTGTTCATGTATAACCTAAGTAGCGATGACAGTCGCGGATTGTTGCACATTGATGGAGAATACAGAAGAAAGGTTTGCTCGCCAAGGTCTACTTGCATTTATTTCTGTTAACCTTTATCCTCCTTCCTTATCCTTCTAGTGAGGTGAGACTGTAGGGCAAGTCTCAGGATTGCAATATCATCAGCAAATGTCATCAGGAGAGTTTGGGATGTCAGTAATATGTATTAAGTAGAATAGGTCTAAAAATACTCGTATTTTTGGGTGATTCCTCTCCGGACAGGATGGTAGAACTTTATATTTTATCATCTCAGCATGCCAGACTTATCAAAATGCTTACGTAACGACGAAAAAACAGCCGGGCAGTATTGTTTCTTCTCAAAGGAGGATGCCATAAGGTCAATGGTGCGATTGCTGAACTAACATTTTTAATTCCTGCTCACCATATAAATTGAAATTTCCAGGCACATAAAACTTTTTTTTTTGAGGCAAGTAGTATCTCGTAGTTTTAGTCGTCTTTCACTCCCGACAGGGTGGATCTCCCTTCTTCTATATTGCTTAGGCGTTTTCGGCAGATTGGTTAGAGGATTTTTTGTCGATATTTTATTCAGAGATCCCTAAATAAACTTGTAAACTAACAAAAAAACATTAGACTCTGTTCACCACTCATTGTGTGCTGCCAACTGTGACATTAGGGATGTTGCTTTACTGCACGAGCAATCAGGACTGTTTATGATGGAGAATCGACTCTGCCATTGTGCCTTGTCACGTCAGAATTTACGTCGCCTATCTTTTTCACAATTAACTGATGCATCCAAAAAGGCAGTTTGGAAAAACTATGTTTGTTGGGCATAAATGGTGCTCCATAGGTTCTCCCACTCTTCCAGGCTGTACTCAACCTATCTTCTTCTTGGCTGTGGCTAGAAGAACCCTGGTATAGAAGATATAGATCACTTTCGGGATTCAGCCTTGGCCATCCGATCCGACAGTTCATTCCCCGATATGCGCTTTAACTCACGAAAAGAAATCGTGTAACTACGCTTCACTCTCCACTCTCTCTCTCTCTCTCTCTCTCTCTCTCTCTGTGTGTGTGTGTAACGAATGCATCTATTTACATATACACTTGTTAAAGTCTTTCTACCTTAAATGAAAAACAAAAATAAAATTAAAACTATATATAATAGCTATATATATATAGAATTAAAACTATGGAGAATGAATTCTTCTTGAAGTTTTTTATTAGAAAATTTTTACAAGTATTAAATTCAAAAAATTGATCACGAAACTACCTTTTTTAGTGTGCTTTACGATTAAGATCTGGTGTATTTTTCGTTTTTATCTCTTTATTTTTTGTCTTTGTTCATGTATCAATGTATGAAAAAATATACTAAACTAAAAAAATTATAGATACTTTGGCACAGGTCGTAAATTCACAAAAGGTGTGAAGAATAGCGTCTTCTTTCTCAGTGGGATTTTATGTTTGATATCTCGTGACTAATTATCTTGTGGAAGAACTCTTTTTCTTTACTTTTTTTCTTTGTAAATGGTTCGAACGGTATGAAACTTGGTTAAAAAAATCCCTAACTTATAAATTCTAATTATAGTAACACATGCTTAATTTTTTAATAAACAAAAATATACAGAGGAATATGAGAGAGAGAAAGAGAGAGAGAGAGAGAGAGAGAGAGTGAGAGAGAGGAATAAAGATATTTAGATTAAGGACGAAATAAAACGTATTATAACGTATTTACTATATATTTTATCATGTACAAGACTTCAGTTTAGAGTCTATTTATTTTAAAATACATAAAAAATTCTATTGTCAGGAAAATATTTCAAAATCAACTTTGAACTTGTATGAATTTCTAAAACTTATGAAACCCAACAAAGTCATTTTCTGTTAAATAGAAAATTTTATTCACAATTGTCAAATGTTCACGTTGCCCTTTTTATAAAGTAAAACGCCTTTTGGAACGTTTTCTCTTTCCTTTAAAAAAATAAAAGATAATCATTGTAATTATTAAATGAAAAATCAGGATGGGGTACAGGCAATACAAATGTAAGAAATTCAACTTTATTTCATATTATATTTTGTGTTTTAATACTAGAAAATGGAAATCTAAACTTTGTATACTGTATTGTCAGTTTGAATTTTTTATGAAGTTATATAAGTATTATTTTATGTCAGATAAAGAATGAAAAGTCCTTTTAGAATTATGTAAGAATTATTCTTTTGAGCTTTGTAAAGCTCTCTATTGAAAACTCACGAGCAATATATACATTTTAAACATTAAAATATATGTACATTAAAAAACACTTTATCATTCTAACGTCGTGGTAAATTTATATGACCTAATCGCGGAAAGTTTTGAAGGGTTGTGTTTTTTCTTTTTTTACAGCGGCCTTTCTAAATTGTATGAAATTCTGTTGAATGCGATAAAGGAGGGCTTCTGGGGGTGGTTTGCCCCCGTTGGGTGGAGTAGCGGCGTAGAGGGTGGGTTAGGGTTGAAAGCTCAGTTGACCCAGGGCAACTGCAAAGAGCAGAACCGCAATTCTCTATATCACACATACCTCTAATGGTTTACGCGTGAGTTCTCATTGACACAATATCGGACACATGCAAAAGCCTGATTCTGTCTATTTCTATACTTATTTCTAAAAGAAACCACCGTTTCGTTACTATTTCATTTTTAAAGAAAGACCACTGTTTTGTTTACCTTCTTGAATGTGTTCGCATAGTTTCTTCTTTAAATCAGATTTTTTCACACTTTCTCCATATCTCTTTGATCACTTTTTTATTTTAAAATATATTTATTCTTGTGTATGTTTGTTTTATACAGTTGAATGCGATGCAGAAGCGTGAAGAGGACGATGCATAATTTAAAAAAAATATATAAACAAACTGAGTTTTTTCCAAGTTTATAATTATTATATACAAGGAAAAACTAAAAATTACTTTTTTAATATAAAAGTTTAGTCAGTAGACAAAAATAACTATTTACCCTTATTATTTATTCATAAACTCTAATTATTAAAAATTAAACTGATGTGCTTTTCTTATGTTATAAATAAAGCTGGATTTATAATACTCTATAAATACACAGAAGCTATATTCGAAACAAAAAGGGAAATTTAAAGAAACAAGAACTTTTGAAATAAATAAAACATTAATACATGAAAGGGTCACGCTTCAGCTTTTATACTTTTTTAACTATTGAATGGAAAATGAAAAAATTCAGTCTGGATAAAAAACATAATTTTCTTTGGGGGGGGGAGTCTACAAGCCTTGTTTCCGTTTTTCACATCTTACACAAATTTTTTCATATACGATTTCAGTATTTGATATTTCATTATTTATTAGATTTTTTATTAGATTTCATTTTATTAGATTTGCCTCTATTCTTACATGTTTTATCGTATTTTAAAAGCTAATAGTAAAGCAATTAAAATTTTAAGAAAAAAATTGGTTTTCAACGTTTTATTATTGAAGAATTGATATTGTTTCTTATTTTTGTTAAACATACTTTACATTTGTTCTAATGTGTGGTGTTTAGTGACCGATACTTGGTGATTATTTGGAGGTCGTGAGATGCGGACTAGTGTGAAGTAGGTTTTAGAAAAACATTTTCTTTAGCGTGTCAACGTTTCGGGTCTTTATTGAGATCATCTTCAGGGCTCAAAGTGTTTGTTTTCCGTGTAGATGTGTGCCCAAAGTGGGCGCTCTCAACACGACAGACAAGAATGACACATCTACACGGAAAACAAAGACTTTGAGCCCTGAAGATGATCTCAATAAAGATCCGAAACGTTGACACGCTAAAGAAAATGTTTTTCTAAAACCTACTTCACACTAGACCGCATCTCACGACCTCCAAATAATCATTTGTTATAATTATATATACATATATATATATATATAATGTAGAAAATCAGTATGAAATGGTCCAAGTGTATGAGAATAGAGTAGTTTCATTTTATTTATTTTTTATTCGTTATAATTGTGGCGTTAAACATAGCTTGAATCTTACAATTTTTCCTTCTTTTTTTCCCAAATTTTCATTTCCGTCTTGCCCTTTGCACTTTCGGACTGTAAAATTGTCAGTCTAATTGACTTTACGCCTCCGGGTGGGTTTATTTCTGTACTATCGATCTCCTAGAATTCCGGGATCCGTATCCGGAGTTAAACAATCGTCCCATTGACCCAATCAGCCTCCAGCTCATCAGGGTGTTTATTTTAGACTATAGGGCGGTTTTTCTATTTGAGAAACCCGTTCAAACAAGCCGGCTTAGGAGGTGGCCGTGTATCAACAAGTGCGGTTTGATCTACCCCTTTGATACACCGAAGGAAAAATGTGAGCTTTACCAATTGATCTAATTTACCCTGGAGATAACAAAATGAGGTTTTTACATACAAACATAAAAAAATGGTAATTTTTATTTACGGCAAAATAAACAGCGATGTCCAGAAAGACGTTTGTCACGTTGCCAGAAAATAGAGAGAGAGAGGACATGTCCACCACCATAAAGTTCGTGTTATGAGACATATACTGCGTTTCTCTGAAATACTTTTCACTATAAATAACACTCAAACACACTTTTACTTTTTTTACACCTTTACTTTTAAATATTCATCAACCCGCTATATTAACATTATCATTAAAAGGCAAATAAAAACATAAATGTTAAATAAAAATCTGGAAGAACAGTAGACAAAAGAAAAGTGGTCTGCCTGAAAATGTTTTTGGTTATTCACGTACGAAAGCAAAAGATACATATTTGGAAAAAAGTATGAGCTACGTTTATTTAATAAACCGCTACAATTATTGTTTTTACGTTTATTGCCAGGATACATGGTGGAACTTCAGATGTTCCGTTATCCTTGCTCTCTGTTCATTTATATATTATTTCCCGTTAAACGTATCTTTTATTTTAAATTTTTGTTTTAAAAAACACATAATTTCAAAATGCAAAATTTGCAAAAAAAATTTATAAAAATTGTTCTAATCGCCTGAACAATTCATTATTGTGTTTAGATTCTTAGTGATAACTAAAATCTCATATCTTATATTTATTATCAATGTTTTATACATAAATTAGCATCAAAACGTCTGTTTATGGTTCATTTTTCAGACACAAGAGATTGTTTGTAAAGCGTGTTAAATAATATTGAAATTTTTTTTTGAGATTTTTGAAAATTAAATAATTCATACTTAAATAAAAAAACTATTTTATATTAAAAATTAGTAATAAAAATTCTTTATGAGTACGTTGTAAAGAATGGAGCATAAATTCTAAAGTAGGTTTAGCCTAGACTAGGGATCAGCAAACTAATTTTTTTCAATCTGGCCCGCTAGTTAAAATTTTATTTAGAAAACACAACTTGGAGGTAAATCAAGGTGTGTAACGCAATAGATTTGGGATTAAGTACTGTCTTCCATCATTATGGTGTGCCTTCTGGTATTCTTAAATTCTATTTTTATTTGTTACAGTTTCCTCGTGTTTTTCCGTACCTTATTACTTAAATTTTGTTAAAAGGTTTTTATGTCATTATAAAAAAAGCGTAAACAAAATTCAAAACATTACTTTTAAATAATTTTTTTTTTAAAGAAAACCAAAAGTCGTTAGCACAAAAGTTTTTATGTCAACCACAAGTTTCTATCACACCGTGGTTTATTTTCATATCATATCATCAGAACTGTATAAACATTAATTCTTAGTAAATCTATCAAGGTGGGAAAGATGGGTTTTAAATGGAAATCCATAATTGGTCACAGGTGAAGCACGCCAATCGAATCTAGTTTAAGATTTGTTGTTTTTCTCCCAAGAGTATGGGTTACTTTTTAAAATATATTTTCCAACTAAATTTGCCAAAAATTTTCTTTAAAATATTTAAAAAAAGAATATAAGGGTGGTTCGTTATGTGATACAAAAAAATTGGATGAAAGATTGTTTCGTTCATCTCTTTCACTGTCACATCAAACTTTAAGAATTCTCACAAGACTGACAGTCTAAAAACTCTTTTGTTGGTAAAGATCAAGTATCTTCAAAGCCTATGAGCTGTTTTCATTCGTTTAAATCTCTATTTTAATTTTGTTCTACATCATTCAGTTTTTATATAATTAACAATTCTGTCTTACTTGAAACATTTTTTTTGGATTGATCTACCATAAGCCTTGAAAAAAGGATGTACTATACTTCCTAAAAAAACATGGTATCTGAAAACGTTTCCAATAAAGCAATTTTTGTGAAACTCGCCAATCTCTACGTGATTTCGTCAAAGTGAAGTGTATTTTTGAAATTCTTCAAAAAGCTTCCAATGTTTCAATTTCGTAGGATTGTGCCAAATTGCTACTCGTTGGACTGAAAGGGTTAAGTAGAAGATTCTTTAAACAATTTAAATTGATTTTAAAAAGGTCTAATTTTTGATGACGATTGAAAAATTCCATTTTTGTGTATTTATGTTTTTTTGAAACAATTTTATATACATGAAATCAATGGATTGAGTAAAAAGACGTTTTTGCAGCAATTTACTCCACCTTCAATTTTGTATCGCACAATGTTTTCCATCTTATAGCAAACCACCCTATATTATAGCATATTTAAAAATGAAGACAGATTACATGGCACGCTAAAATTTGTAAGACCGCTACTTATTGACCGCCCAAAGCAATTAATTAAAAAATAATGAAATCAATTCACTGTTAACCGCCCGCGCAATTTCCGGACTACTTGAACGAGATCTTCAAATAGTCGTCAATGCTGAAACTGTAAGGATGAAGGTAAGAGATGACAAAAAAAAATTAAAACATAAACTATCAGAATTTTCATAAAAATACAATTGCTTTAGGACAAAGTCTTAAGCTCAAACGAGATGAAATTTATTGCTTTTAGCTAGCTCAAAGGGGATAACAAAGGTTAACTAACTAACTTTAATATTTTTAACATAAGATTATTCAATGCTACAGACAATTCCCAACAAAACAAGGTTCAAAAAAATATTAAACAATAAGATATAATTTATTCCTTAATATAATTGAAACTTTTCTAAAACATTGATAGATAATAGCATTAAGTTATGAATAAATATGGGGATAATGTAAAAATACAAATTACGAATAGAGGGCAGAGACAATGTGAAAAGACATTTTTTATTAATTTTGTTAAATAATAATTGATTATTAAAGATAATTATTATACTGACGACTACAGTGAAATTAATTTTATTGGAAGGCTCCTCTTGTTGTTTCCTAAATTTTTAGTGATAGGGCAAGATTTCAATTAATAATTAATTTAAAAAATCAAACGAAATTTCATCAAATTTGACCTATATTGAAATTCGATTATTGGTTTAGAATATTATATTTTTAATGTTTTCCACAGTTTGGAGAGTATCAACTCAAACTTCTCATAAACGGCTGTTAATATAGACTAAACCCGCACGACCTGCGAATATTGCAAAAGTGTAGCTACTCAACGCCGTTATAGGATTCTTTGTAAAATTCAAAATAAAAAAATATGTACATCTTGAATTTTTGTTTATTGAACGAAAAAACAAACAAACAAATATTCAGGCCAAACGAAACGATT